TCTGACGCCTGGGGCAGGACCGACAGCTTTTATGAGCCCCACTTGTTTTTAGTTAAGTATGAGAGATGTTCACATCCCGGAGTCGGGAGGATTAGATGAACCAGGCACACAGAGGCACCTAGTGCATGGTGGGGTTTTAGTTCTGTTCGTGCTGCTTTGTTCCCTCCTGATCAGGCTAGGGGTGGGTCAGGATGCTTCCTTTTCTTTGTGGAGACAGGCATTGAACTCATGGCAGTCCCAAGACTCAGCATCAAGTGGTAGGGACACGAGTGTGCGCTCTGCCTGGCTTCGTTTCCATGTGATCTGCCTCACACTGCACTTCCTCATGAGGACGGTGAGCACAGAGATTTGGTTGTGTGTCTGAGAAAATGTGACAAGGAAGTGTTTGAAATCCTCATGCTGTTTCAAAGACACCGGGATACTGATCACCATGTCCCTGAAGTTGGTTCACAGGGCTCTGGTTTGGAGACACAAGGCAGGGTTCCCTGGATAGCCAGTCACAGTGCTTTAGCCCTTCTCCCACCCCTGGTTCATGTTCTAGTACAATGCTACTCAGTGTCTGCGCACACCATTCTCTTGAATCAGTGATGCGTGCTCTCTTTGATTTTACATAGGGAGTATGAATGCTTGTGGGCACAATTAATGTTAGACATTACCTTTTAAAGATACAAATGTATTGTTTGTGCCTGTTTTCCTTTCTCCAACCCCGATCCCTTTAAGGATTTAAAATCAAACTTTTATGAAAAAATTGCAGACCATTTTTAAATTGGGGATGATATGCTAACCCCCTATGTATTTTTATCCTGCAGCCTCAACAATTACCAAGTCATTACTGATCTTGTTTTGTCTGTAATTACAGAATACCTTGAAACACATCGGATGTATTATGTCATCTATACATATTTAACTACATATGAAAGAGATAAAGACTAGACTGGGGACAGTTTAGTGGTACAGTTGCCTAGTGTGTGTAAGGACTGAGTTTGATCCTTAAGGCTACACAAGACTCAGTTTCAGAAACAGTATCACCCACATGCTTTGTATTACCTGATAATTATACCTTAAAACTATAGTTCAACAATATTCATGACTTTAAACACTTAAAAATGTTTATTTTTATTGGAGTGTTTTTGAGAATGGTTGTGCATGTGCATGGCTCCCTTCCTGTGGTCAGAGGACAACTTGTGGGCGTCAGATTCCTCTTTTCGGGCATCAATAGGTGACCAGTTTGTGACAGGTGCCTTTACTTGAGACTTACAACTAGTAATAATTAAAGTACATGTTCCTTAGTTTACTTTGCTAAAAATAATGTGCTAATACATTTTGCTAGAAAAGTGACGACTACAGCAGGATGGGTAATCTTTTGAAAGCATACGTGAAATCAGTTTACGTAATGTATCCAACACTGTTGTTAGTGCACGTTACCATGGTTCTTCCCATTCCTGTCTGTCTCCAGCCTGTATTCACATTGTAGCCAGAGTCCCCTTTAACGTAGATTAGGCCTCCAGTTTCTTGCTAATGTCCATTCTAGGGGCTTCCTTTATTACTTAGATAAAATCTAGATTCTGTCGTTTGCAGTTTGATCCATCTTGTACATGTCTCTGTCCTTCCCTCCTTTCTTCCTGTCTGTACCTCATCTAGTTTCCTTGAGGCTGAGCTTGGTGTGCCAGGCTCGCTACACTGGCTCTGTGGCCTGCATGTGTTTGTTGTGTGTCATTCAGCTTTTCTCCCCAGCCCTTCTTGCCTTCGCTTTAACTCAAACATTGTTGACTGTCTGTGTTAATTACCCTTTCCTCCGGCATTTTGTCACCTAGCATCAGATTGGGACTTAGGAAATTATCTTGTTTATTTCTCTCTGGTTCTCCATTGTATCCTTGCTGCTAGAACTGAGTTTAAATAGATGTTGCAACCTTTTGAATCTGTAAAATTATTAATTATTGAAGATGGAGGTTTCTGTCCCACCTGGTCCTGCAGCCACTTAGCCCCAAATAAACACACAGAGACTTGTAGTAAGTAGAACACTGGCCGATGGCTGCCTTCTTACTGGCTAGCTCTCTCTTTCAGTTATTAACCCATTTCTACTAAAACTGTGCATTGCCACCAGGCTGTGGCTTACCCGTACTCTGGCGTGTTACTCCTTGGGCAGCAGGTGTCTCTTTGGCGGCCTCTCCCTGCCTCCTGTCCCTGTCTCTTCTCCCTGCCTCCTGTCCCTGTCTCCTCTCCCTGCCTCCTCTCCCACCTTCTCCTGGTCTGGCAGCCCCGCCTATCTTCCTGCCTGACTACTGGCCAATCAGGGTTTTCCCCCATCAAATTATGTTCATTTTAAACAATTTTTAAAATATTTGTGGTACTAATATTAGTTTGTTTTCTTTCTTAGTGTGAGGCCGTTTAAGAATTGGCCATGAACCAGGTGGTGGTGGCACCCAGCTGCGGAGGCGGGAGTGCTGCCAGACGTGGTGTGTGGAAAGCGATTGTCTGGCTGTGATCCCTTCTGTTTGCTTTGTTTGGAGTCTGTCCGTGGGACAGTGGAGAGGGTGTTTGAATGTTTTTCTCAAAGTCCTCTAAGCTAAGGTTCCCTGCCTGGGTCCAGGATATGAAATTCCTTATCCGTATGTGTGTAAGCAACCATGGTAGGCTCTGCGTGTACAGGGTACCAACCCACTTGCCATACGCCACCTCTGGACCTCACACCCTGGATCTGTATTCACTACATGAAGTCTGCCTTAGTTTCTTTTCCTTGCCATTTCATCTGCTATCACTATATGCCTCATGTTCATTAGATTTCTAGTCAGGTTGTTAGTGAATGTATTCAACACTTACAAATGACATAATTCTATAAGAAATATTATTATTGAACCTATAAAAGTAGCTATGTTGTCATAAAATCAGAAGACTCAGCATATGATTGGCATTTTGAAGGTCAAATGGGTAGAACAAAGGTGAATATTCCAGTTCTGTTCATACAAATACGCTGTGTCAGATTGCTTATATGCTCTGGATAGCCAGAAGAGAAGGAAAAAATGCTCTATAGTTTTAAACAGTGCGAACAGAGCTGGACGGGAGCTGCTTCAAGTCCGAGGTTGAGAAGCGTCCGTTCTGGGCCTGTGCAAACATACGCTCCCACCACAAACCCTAGAGCCCAGCACTTTATTAATTAATCTGTGCCCAGTGTTCACGGGGGCTCGGTGAGACTTGCTGGGACCTCAGATTCAACTGTAATTTTAATTTTGCAATCCTGACAGTTTTACGGCTGAGTTTTTAGCTAGAGCAGCTTTGTGACTGCCGTCGAGGCAGGGGTGGAGTGATTATTTTAGAGTTGCTGTGGAAACTCCCAGGATGACTTGAGCTGAGAATCAGTGATTCTCAAATACAAGTTCATTGAAAAGATCCATCCTTCACACCTGTCTTCATCATGCCTGCCATTCTGGTCGCCTGTAGGAGGCACTAAGCCTTCCTTCCCAGATGTGTCTCAGGGTTCAGATTTGGTGAGCTGTAGTTGGAGCTCAGGTTTGCTAATGTGAGTCACTGAGACCAGAGTGGTCTACCGCTGATGGCAGAACAGAAACAATCACACCGGGTGTGGACTAGTTTTTCTGCATGGGTACATGGACAGTGCTGTGAGCTGGGAACTTGGAATGGGACTGGGCAGTGTCCCTGGTGGGGGGTGGTTCCTGACCGAGGCTGCCCTGCTGCTGAGGGGCTGGGCGTGTGGCTGGGGCACAGCACCACACACACTCACTTTGCAGCAGAACCCGGAGGCATCTCTGCTGCGGTCCTCCGGCCCCATCTGACAAACAGCATTGTCCTCACTGTGAAGGGGAAATGCATGAACACTCGGGGCCTCGTTATGTCAGGGGGGCAACTGCTGAAGGAGGGATTCAGAGTAGAGACAGTTTATAGATAATTGCCTACTTACTCAGATTACTCTACTTAAAGTGTCTGAATAGCTCTGTTTTTCAGAGTACAATTCAGTGCAGGGCACAGCAAGGCTCTCTAGTCTGGCTTCATGCTGCTTTATTTTGTGGCTCTGCTATCGGGTCTCCTTGCCGTTTCTGGAACCCATCTGGACACCATGAGCCTTTGCCTTAGCTGCTGCTTCCCAGGAAGCCCCCTTTCCTTTGGTGCCTGTGGGGTGGGTTTTCTCCAAGCTGTGCTCAGAGACAGGCTTTTCAAAGGGGATGCTCCCGGACCACTTGGCCGCTTCTATAAGTGGCCTCTCGCTGTGGGTCCTCTCACAGCACTAACCTACCTCGCAGTTGTTTGTACTGTTTATTGCGTCTCTCTCCTACACTGCGATGTCTGGCACTGGGAGGATCCAAAGGGCAGGCGTTACCAGGTAACTAGAGCAGGCTGGGGGGTCGTGTCGTAGTGTCGGGTAAGCACTTGGGTGTCATAGCAGACAGACTGACTGACACACATTGATGAAGGCGAGGTTCTGCCTCAGCAAAGCAGCATGCCGTGTGTCGTGTTCACAAGTGTGCATGCACACCTGCATGTGTGCTGGGGGTGTTCATGCATGTGTGGTGCGTGTGGAAGCCACATTGGTATCAGGAGGTTTATTTACTGAGGCTGGGTCTCATAGAACCTGGAGCCTTCAGTTTGGTTTGCTAGATGGACATTTTGTCCCAGGATCCGGTTTCTACATTGGGCTGCCATGCCCTTCTGGCATGTTTGTGGTTGCTGGGCATCCATACTCTGGTCCTCAAGCTTACCTAACAGCCCTCACCTTCCCAGCTAGAACTAGGTAGTTCAGAATAACCGCACTAATACTGTGACCTATTGCTCTTTTGTTCTATAGGCTGCTTTTATTCTCAGGGTTGGCTAAATTGAATATAAGTATGTTTTGGGGGCTATTTTGTACTCTATAAAATGAAACTTTTACTCTCTGACATTTTCAGTTTCTGTGACTTTTCTCATTTTAGTAGATGATGAGCCATCTTTTTATTTATTAGGGTTCAGTTTTGCTTCTTGGAAAGTTAACTCGTTCTGTTTTACCTTAGGTGCCGAGTGTGGCGTGAATGCAGATGTGGAGAAACATCTGGAATTGGGGAAGAAATTGCTTGCAGCTGGGCAGCTGGCTGACGCGTTGTCTCAGTTTCATGCTGCAGTAGGTTGGTATTGCAACACTCACACTCAGTTTGCTATCGTCTGAATTTTAGTCAGAACTCCAAGCATCGTTACATGTTAGATAAACCATCAGACATTGTAGCGTGTACGCTTCCCGCCAGCCGCCTGGGTCCCGCCGCTGCCTCAGCCCCCAAGTAACATACAAGGCGCTATATTAATTATGAAGCTGTTGGCCGTTTGCTATGGTTTCTTATTGGCTAGCTCTGACTTAGTTATTAACCCATAACTGAGTATTTCCACTTGGTCTTCTCTTACTGGAGCAAGGGTCTGGACCTCTTACTCCTCTGGACCTCATACTCCTCTGGTCCTACATCATGACTGACTGTGCCTCTGTTTCCCAGAATCCTCCTGGACTCCTAGTCTCACCCTGTTGGCCAACAGTGCTTTATTTAATCAACCAATAAGACAACATACACACAGAAGGACGTCCCCCATCAAGACATATTTTCAGGATTCTAGTAATTAGATTAATAAATACACAATACACGAATACATTTGTATCTGGCAGAAGAGGTAACTGAGGAGGCTGGAGGGAAGGCTCAGTGGTTAAGAGTGCGTATACTGCTCTTCCACAGGGCCTACGGTTAGTTCCTAGCGTCCACATCTGTGGACTTAAACCACCTGAAACTCCGGCTCCAGGAGATCTGATGCATCTGGCCTCAAGCACCTGTGCTCACATGCGCTCACTCCACACACACAGGGGCACACACACACACACACACACACACAGGGGCACACGCACACACACAGGGGCACACACACAGGGGCACACACACACACCCGGGCACACACACACCCGGGCACACACACAGGGGCACACACACACAGGGGCACACACACACAGGGGCACACACACACACAGGGGCACACACACACACCCGGGCACACACACACCCGGGCACACACACAGGGGCACACACACACAGGGGCACACACACACACAGGGGCACACACACACCCGGGCACACACACACAGGGGCACACACACACAGGGGCACACACACACACAGAGGCACACAGGCGCACACGCACACACACAGGGGCACACACACACACACAGGGGCACACACACACACACCCGGGCACACACACACAGGGGCACACACACACAGGGGCACACACACACAGGGGCACACACACGCAGGGGCACACACACACAGGGGCACACACACACACAGGGGCACACACACACAGGGGCACACACACACAGGGGCACACACACGCAGGGGCACACACACAGGGGCACACACACACACACAGAGGCACACAGGGGCACACGCACACACACAGGGGCACACGCGCACACACAGAGGCACACATGCATACGCTCTTTAGATGCAGATTTAAAAAAAAACAGGTCACTGAGGCTTAGTCATGTATGTATTAAGAGTAACTCAAGATTTTATCATTCTGAGAGACTCCTAGACAATAAGGAACCATTGAATGCTCAGCTGTGAATGGTTCAGGATGCAGGGAAGATGGTGGAGAATGAGAGGCGCGAGTGGAGAATTACTGGCATGAGACGTGTGCAGGGCTCAGCCTCTCAGCGTCCTGTCATGAGCGGTGGTGGAAAAACCGACCTCCCCACCTACAGGCAGATTACAGGGTGGGGGAGGGGTATCATGAAGTGCTCCATCATTCTGAGTATTGAGGTACTGAGGGGCATTTAATAGTTGCTAGGGGAGGGAGAGACATTTTCTCCAGTAATATCTCCACTGGCTAAGGAGTCTGTTGTCCTGTAAATAATTCCTTACCCAGACAGGACCCTGTAAACAATGCCGTGAGACTCACTGGGCCAACCAGACAAACAACCAAGCAGAGAGACATGAGTAGAAGGGAGATGAGGAGATGAGAGGTCAACAGGAAGGGAACTTACAGGAGCCAGTGAATGTCTGTTGAATATGGTAAAATTCAACATATCCCTGTGGGAAAAAGTCACAATAAAAGCCATCGTTGTCTATAATCAACACCCAACGAAGAACAGAGACTTCTGATGGAAACTGTCTTAAGCAAACCTCACAGAGTGTGCTGTGCTTTTCTTTAGCTAGGTTATCAGTATAGTCGTTGCTATGGCCGTTTTTTTTTTTTCCAGATTTGAGATTTTTCTAGTTCAGTGACTCTTCATTGTTCGTCAGATTGCAGCTGCCCCTTATGGAGTTTTCCTTGGGTGATTGTATCTTTCTGTAACATCAGCTGTCACTGTGATGTCTAAAGAAAAGAGGTGACAGAATGCATAACTTCTGAGGACCTAATTCATGTCCTCACTCACTCTCTTTCTGAGGCAGAATCTTACTGTTCAGTCTTTGCTTGCCTAGAACTCACTGAAGTAGACCAAACTGGCCTTGAACTCAGAGTCCCACTTGCCTCTGCCCTGTGTATCTGGGATTTAGCATGGTCTACAACCGTGCCCAGCTCTGAAGCTCTTCCTACAAGTTACTGCCTGAATTTTAACTTAGGGTTTTTGACATTAGCTTTTCTCAGGCCATCTTTTACTTATTTCTCACCTTGATTTGTGGTGTGAAGAGTGGTTTAGTCAGCACCTGACAAGTAATGAACAGTTTATTTTCCAACACAATGTGGTGCGTGGCAGGCTTTCAGTGAGTGGCTTTGGGGTAGGAACTCAGGTCCTCATGTTTGTGTGGCAGTGTTTTACCCACTGAACCACCGACCCCGCCATACTTGCTATTTTTAAGATGAAATGAAAGGAAGTAAGGTACCAACCATCCTAGTCACCCCACACCTCTAAGCAAGGGGATTTTTCATTTCAATGTTGAACCATTGTCATTTGTTGCTCTAAGGGTAGAAGCAAACTCAGTTGCAACCTCTGTACCTACCCAGCTTTCAGTACTTTTTTGACTTCTGTCTACCCATGTGTGTGGAGACTTCTCAGCAATCCTAAAGGTTCTCTTTGGGTTTGAGTTAGGTTCAGTTAAATTCTAGCACTGTATGCTTTTATGGAGCAGCCTAAAAACCATAGGTTTTGAGCAAAACTGCTGCCCACTTTAGATGCCAGTCTGAAGCCCCGACATACCAGGTATAAATCAGGGGGTCCCACGAACCCGTTTCTAAGTTCAGTTAGTTCTCTAGAATGGCTCTACGAATGTAGGGAAACATCTTTACAGGTTAGGACAGACATTAGAGAGGTGCACAGGGCCCTGCCAAGGGGAAGACTTGGAGCTTTTGTCTTCTCTCTGCTGTACCACCCTTCAAGAACTGCCCTCCCAAGTGCTGGAATTAATGTTGTGCACTACTCTGCCTGTTGGTCATTCTGTTTTTTTTTTTTTTTTTTTTTTTTTTTTTGAGACAGGGTTTCTCTGTGTAGCTCTGTAGACCAGGCTGGTCTCAAACTCAGAGATCTGTTTGCCTCTCCCTCCCAAGTGCTGGGATTAAAGGCTTGCAACACCACTGCCTGACTGTTTGTCATTCTTAATAGAATTGTAAACTGTAATTTTCTCAGAAGATTTTGTCTAGATTAAATTATAGAAGGCTAATATTTATTACTTGAATTTTCAGATGGCGACCCTGATAACTATATTGCATACTACCGGAGAGCTACTGTCTTCTTAGCAATGGGGAAATCCAAAGCAGCACTGCCTGATCTAACTAAAGTGATCGAGTTGAAGATGGACTTCACTGCAGTGAGCGCGCTTACACTTGCTTAACGGGGCGCTTAAGGGAACGGGAGGGGAATGTGTTTCCTGTAGTGAGTATTGGCGCCCTAGGTGTTACTAACGCGTATGGAAGCTGTCAAGTGTGCAGTGCAGACTCCTTATGCTTTTCTTTCTTTTTTTTCTTTTTCAAGAGAGGGTTTCTCTGTATTGTTTTGGAGGCTGTCCTGGAACTCACTCTGTAGACCAGGCTGGCCTCAAACTCACAGAGATCCGCCTGCCTCTGCCTCCCGAGTGCTGGGATTAAAGGCGTGCACCACCGACGCCCGGCTCTATGCTTTTCTTTATAGTGGCACAAACCTATAGTTCCAGCCAGTTGGGAGGTGAAGGCAGGAGAATCCCTGGAGCCCAGGGTCTTGAGGTCTGCTCGAGTACTGTAGCCTGATCCTGTCTCAGTAATAACAGCAAAGTTCTTGGAATTAACATCTGTGTTCATGCCTTTAATTGCAGCACATGGTAGGCCAAGACATGCTTACCTCTGAGTTCAAGGATAGCCTAGTCTACATAATGAGTTCCAGCACAGGACAGTCAGGGTTAAGTAGAGGGCCCCTGTCTCAGCAAAACAAAAAACAAAAAACAAACAAAAAAAGGTTTGTATGGAAGAGTAACAGGGTGTACTAAATGATTGTTTCCCAGAAAGCAGATGTAGTAGCTCTGTGGTTTAGGAAGACAGGTCTGTGTGAGTGATGGAGTGTAGGGCATGGTGAGAGACCTGAGGTGACAAGATTCGCAGACTGACGGCTCTCATTGAAGTGGGGTTTCTGTGGTTTGGAAGGAATTAGTCACCAGAGAGAGGTATGTGTTGTCAAGAACTGGAATGGTATGTATTAGAATAAGAGGAATATCAGACATCATAGTAAATATTCACATTGAAGGCTTAATGAAAACCAAACCTATTTCTGGAGCTTTGATGGTCTCACTGTAACTTTTAGTGAAAAAAGTTGGTATGTGGTCAAAAAATATTTTTTAAAATTAATATACAGGGCCTCGAAGGCTGAACCTGGTGTCATTCACCTTGGTGGGTCCCTGTGTTTGATACCAATTATCATTTTTAAAAAAGTATATAATTCTTGTCCCATAAAATGCACATTTTGAAGTTTTCTGTGGTTCTTTTTAGCTTGTATAGTCATTACCATTGTCTAGTTCCAGGACATTCTTATCACTCTCAGAAGAAACCTTATGTCTTAAACAAGCAAAAGAGAGCCTCCCCACCCAGTAACCTTGTTTATGTTTTCTTTGGGTTGAGCAAAACATATTTTTAGAGAAAACATATTTTAGTAAAAGTTGTACACATTCTGAAGCTATAGGAATTAGTCTTAGTGCTAAGTCAAACATGGAAAAATGGATGGTAGTAAGTTGGTTACATTTTTAGTTTTATTGTTTGTGTTTAAAGAACATTTAGAAATCCCGTACTCAGAACAGCCCCTCTTCTTCCTCCCAGGCAAGGTTACAGAGAGGCCACTTACTACTCAAACAAGGGAAACTCGATGAAGCTGAAGAGGATTTCAAGAGAGTGGTAAGTGCTGATGCCAGGAGGATGTTATTGAGAGACATGCAGAATTTATTTTTCTTTGCAATAAAGTATTTAATAGTAATTTTATAGCTAAAAAAGAAAACCATCTATACATTCACACACACACACATACACAGTTGATTTATATATATATATATATATATATATATATGTGTGTGTATATATATATATTACAGTTCTTAAATAAAGATTTAATGGCTGGCATCAAAGAATTGTGTTAACAGTTGGAAGATGAAATGCACACAGTTGCTGTGTGAGTCCTATTCAGTTGTAGGCTCACTTTAACTTGGCCTACATGAGAGTCTAGAAATGTCACCAAAACATGCTTCATGGGCTCTAAGCATGGCCTCTTGAACATTTTTCCTAGTGACCATTTCACTCAATAATCCTAGGTGTATAAATGGTCATACAAACAAACACCTACTGAATTTGTTTTAAAACAATTCTTCGGTGTCCGTGTCCTTTTGCCATTTATTCAAGAGGAAGGCAGATTTGCATACTAACTTGATGGATGTGCGTGTTTCTTTTTACATAACAAGAATGAACTCTTGGGGCTGCAAAGATGTTTCAAATGGGTCAAGTGCTTGTTGTGTCAGCACGAGGACCTAGCCCCTGTAAAAGCTGGGCATGACATCGTGCTCCTCTACCCAGTGCGGGGAGTGGAGAAAGGCTGATCTTAGGACCTTCAGGCCAGCCAGTGTGGAAATAGCATGGCTTCATCCTTTAGGACTACTAACTCTCCATCGTATGTATATACCATTTATTTCTTAATGTGTTCATCTGTTGGTGAGCGTCTATGCTGACTCCATGTTGGCCTTTGTCTATAGCGTCACAGCAGACATGGGCATGCAGGTATCTGAATACTGATTTCTTGTCCTTCAAGTGTATACACAACTGGATCATATTTAGGTCTTCTTTTTAGCCTTTGGAAGGCCTCGGAACTATTTTCCACAGTGACTCTACTAATTTGCATTCTTGTCAACCTGCAGTTTGGTTACAGTATCAATTAGATGTTTAGCAAATAACTGTCAATTGCAATTTAATTTCAAAATTAAGTATAAATCTTTGATAATAATTTAGTTAATAAACTCTCCATTAGTGTGACTGAGTACACACACATCAGTTGGAAGGAATTTATTTAAACTTATGGAGATTACACTGAACACAGCCGTGGGGACATCACCGGCTAACAGTCAGGTTGTCTCTGCATCTGAACACAGCCGTGGGGACATCCCCGGGCTAACAGACAGTCAGGTTGTCTCTGCATCTGAACACAGCCGTGGGGACATCCCCAGCTAACAGACAGTCAGGTTGTCTCTGTCTTGGCTGTTGTACAGAGTGCTGTACTGGACAGCACAGGGTAGGTCATTTTACAGAGTGATGGTTTCATTTCTCTACTATCCAGGGAGAAGATTACCAGGTCATATAGTAGTTGTATTTTTAACTGTTTTCAAAACCTACATACTGTTTCCTAAAATTACATTCCTGCCAGTAGGGTTCCTTTTCTGTGTACAGCAGACACTGCACTTTCTGCTTACTGTGCTAGCTGGTTTTCTCTCTCTGACTGTAACGAAATACACGGAATAGCTTAGAAAGAAGTGTGGCTTGTTTTGTCTCGTGCTCTCAGAAGCTTCAGTCCGTGGCCATCTGGCCCCTGTCCATGCCCGTGTTGTGACGTGTTTCCATCATGGTGGGGAGCCTTTCTAGGAAACAGGCGTCTCACAGGCCCGCCTTGCAGTCTGCTTCCAGTGACCTAAACTCTTGTAGCCCTTGCCTCCTAAGATTTCCAGTGACCTAAACCCTTGTAGCCCTTACCTCCAAGATTTCCAGTACTCCAGAGGTGTGACGCCAAGGGTGACCGTTTGTGGAGCAGTGACGGGTGCACAGACGGCGCTGCAGAAGCGGGCAGTGGGTGTGGGTGTGTTGAATACCTGCTGACCTTTGCCGTCCGTGCAGCCAGATCACAGCCAAAGCACCCAGGGCGCTGTCGGAAGACCTCCATCTTCAGCCGTGCTCCTCAGTCACCAGAGCCCATCCTTAGGGGGACGTCACACGTCACATGCACTTTAAAGCCGTGACCCTTGCTAGGTCCCAGGCTCTTAGCACTGTAGAGCCCATCTTCATGGAGAAGTCACATGTGCTTTGGGATTGGGATAATTGTTGCCAAGAAACATTTCCCACATTTAAATAATCTGACCTGGTGTCACATTCCAGAAGTTTTTTTTTTTTTTTTGTTTGTTTTGTTTTTGTTTTTTTGAGACAGGGTTCCTCTGTGGCTTTGGAGGCTGTCCTGGAACTAGCTCTATAGACCAGGCTGGCCTCGAACTCACAGAGATCCACCTGCCTCTTCCTTCCGAGTACTGGCATAATTAAAGGCCTGTGCCACCAACGCCCGGTAGAACTCCAGAAGTTTGAACGAGCACTAAGTCAGGCTGAGCAGAGTTTTCCTGGCTGTGATGCTTGCAGGGACCCCCCCCCCCACTTGGGGTAACATTCTAGATCCAACCCCTGCAGTGTTCCTAGTAAGTGTAAGGCAGCTTTGTCGTTTACATTGGCCTTCTCCCAGTGCTGAGTGGTGTGGAATGTTATTCTGTGTACCTGCTTCTTATTTCTTCACTTTCAGGTACTTTGCCTGTTTACTTACAGCTGTTCTTATTTTTGGGTTGTGTAAGTTATTGCTATCACTTGAATATTTACGCCTTGTCTGATAACTTGGTTCAAATCTCTCTCCTGTATGTCACTTGCCTTTACTTTGTTTGTGCATAACCTAGAAATTCAGATTATTCAGATAAACATGTGAGGCTGCATTAAATTACACCTTTATTATGTGTCAAATTTAGGTACTTTAATTGCTATAATAGAGAATGTCCACATTTTAAAGTTGGCTGTTGTGTAATTCAAGGGGAAATGAGTTTCTTCTTTTGAAACCTGTCCTCATTGTGTATTGTTGAGTTGTTTCCGGGCTGGGGTTGGACCTAGGATTGCACATTTGGAGGAAGGAGTTCTGTCACTGAGCTATAGCTCCCTTTGTTGTGAATTCATACTTACACAGAGCTCACAAAAGAATTAGGAGTCTAAGCCAGCGGTGGAGCCAGGCTTAGCGTGAGTGAGGCTCTGGGCTCAGTCCCCAGTACTGAAGGGAACCTGCGCTTTATAGTGCTTGCCGGACCCAGATACGCGTTACTGTCCTTCCGTTGTCCAGGGAAATGCACAGTACGTGGAAAAGGCATTAGTGCAGGGTTTGGGGAAGTGACTTGTTGATTGAGGCTTTATTTTAAAGTAATCATAAAAGGGCTGTTGAGAGGCTTGGTGGGTAAAACCACAAACATAAACAATGCTAGGATTAGCCAGTCAGAGTATGCATGGAAATGTTCACAGCGCTGTCGCTGAGAAATGGCAGGCCGCTGTCTTGTTACCTGCTGCTGTGTAATGAACAACCGGAAGTGACGGAAGCTGCCCTCTGCGCTGTCTCAGCTTGTGGGCTACAGCTTGGGCATGGCAGTGTCTGCCGTGTGTCAGAGTGACCAGACCCGTGTGCATTACGGGCACTGGACTTGAGAGAGCAAAGCTTGCTTACTTTGTTGTTTCGCTCGTAGCTCAAGTCTAATCCAAGTGAACACGAAGAGAAGGAAGCCCAGTCTCAGCTTGTCAAAGCGGATGAGATGCAGCGTTTGCGCTCACAAGCCCTTGGTGCGTTCGAAAGTGCTGACTATACCGCTGCTATAACCTTCCTTGATACGATTTTAGAGGTGAGTGTCTTAAGTACTGCTGCTGGTGAGTCGGGCACTGCTTTTACAGGAAGGCACATTGTAGGTACTTTGGCATGTTCATATATGGCCAAATCCAAGAAGGGTGCACACTGATCTTGGGCTTTTAGCTCTTAAAGATGGATCATATAAGCTTGCAGTGGAAGGGTTTTCGTAAAGGCTGGGGTGCTGTGAAGTGAGAACTGTAGTTTTTGTCGTTTTTTGCGACAGTCTTCCTATGTAGCTCTAGCTTACCTGAACTCTACGTAGACCAGGCTGGCCTTGAACTCAGATCTGTCTCACTCTGTGTGCTAAGTACCAAGATTAAAGGTGTGCACCACTACGTCTGGCCAAGAATAACATATTTTTACCCACTGCTTGATTTGCTCCCTTTTAAATTTGGAGAATATTATGCTAGATAATGTATAAAAGATGAATTGCTTTTTTTTTTTTTGAATATTTTGGTTTTTCGAGACAGGGTTTTTCTGTATTGTTTTGGAGGCTGTCCTGGAACTCCCTCTGTAGACCAGGCTGGCCTCGAACTCACAGAGATCCGCCTGCCTCTGCCTCCTGAGTGCTGGGATTAAAGGCGTGCACAACCAATGCCCGGCCAAAGATGAATTACTTTAAGAAAAAGGAAACATGACGTTTGGAAAGAGAGAAATGCTTAAAATGAGAAGTTTCTAGATGAAAAGAGTACTGGGATACAGAGCTTCTGATAGGAAGCATAAAGTTAGGGTCTGCTTGCCTCAGGAGGATTTAATGACAGATGATTTCAGAAGAAAGCCTAAATGGAAATAATCAATATAATACCATTTTCACAGCTCTTTGACTTAATATTGTCAATCACAATGTGATGTGTGGAAGATAGACATCCTTTGATAAAAGTTATTATCAGCGTGTGTGATGTGTGTGGTTGTGTGTACTGGGATGCACTTGTAGAGGCTGGAGGTGAATCCTGTGGTGTCGTTCTCGTCCACCTTTTTGTGGGGAGCGTCTTCACCTACTGAAACGTCTTTCCAGACCTTATTTGATAACGTAATGGAGGGAATCATGTGACATGGCACAGAAGAATTCTTGCTTTACTTAATTATTTTATTGATACCTTATTAAAGAAACATAAAACTATACCTTTCACTTTCTTGCTGCTAGACTGTCCATTTGAATTCATATTTAGTGTTGATTTCAGTGTGTGTGTGTGTGTATACATACATAGAAAAGTTATGAAAAATTGACATAATGTTAGAAACTCTGAGGAAAATATAACATACAGGACCTATTGGTGAGTTTGGGGTCTCTGGAAGAATCTGTGTTCAGTGAGTGTAATGGACTTTTCGTAAAACAGGAATGGTGAAGTTTTCCATGTTATTTTTTTTTCTTTTTTAAAATGAGGATTTAATAACAGGAAAGCAAGGATATAACATTTTACAGCAAATAATTTAGTAGTCAATGTAATGTAATTGAGGACTGAGTTTTTAGGCTTAGTTGGTAGGGGTTTGCCCAGCATCCATTCATGCAGTGCAGCCTTGTGTTTGACATACAGTACAGCGTTAACTGGGCATAGTGATAAACGCCTGGGCCCACTACACTCAGGAAGTAGCCGGGAGGAGGATGAGGACGTCAAAGTCATCCTGAGCTAATGGTATTGGAGGCCAGCTTGGTATGCATGGTATCCTGTAGCAAGAAACAGAGCAAGAATTAGAAAAAGAACCTAGATTTTCTTTCTTGTAGAAACTATAATTTCGAGTAAAATATCTGACTATTGAATATTCTCTTCAAATGTTTGAATGGGGGTACCCCTCTACTAGTAAATGCCACAGTTTTGTGGGATTTTTTTGCTTGAGAAAGGGTTTCATTGTGCATCTCAGGCTTGGCTGGATCTCAGTGTGCAAATGCTGTTTCCTTATATTCAGGGTCCTAAGGTGGTATGTGTATCTCCCTCAGAAAAGGCACGCTCAAGAAATTATCCCGTACTATGTGTCACGTTTACATATATCAGGATTTTAAACACCATTTACAGAATACTGACTGTGATCATTGTAACTGGGGGTGTGTTACGTATAAATATGTGGATGGGATGTGTGGGGGTCAGGAATCCATGTACATCCTCTGTTTCTCAAAGTCTAGTTCTTCTGTTTCTCAAGGTTTGTGTTTGGGATGCAGAGTTGCGAGAACTTCGAGCTGAGTGTTTCATAAAGGAAGGAGAACCCAGGAAAGCAATCAGTGACTTAAAGGCTGCTTCAAAGCTGAAGAATGATAACACGGAGGCATTCTACAGAATCAGCACACTCTACTATCAGCTAGGAGACCACGAGTTATCCCTCAGGTCAGCTCCCGTGACATCATAAATTACATTATCCCTAATATATAATTATGCAGTTTATTTACAAGAAACATTGTTAACTAAAGTAAGCTTTTACTTACCAAAACAGAGCTTTAATGTATAACTTCATGCCATTTAAATTGTCGTATCTTTGATATGATGTCATACATAAGTGTGTACAGCAAATGATAAAGTCAGCATGTTGTTAATGGTGATTTTTCTATTCTACTTGATGTGGTGAAGTATTGAATGGTTTTGACTTGGAGTATTTCTTTTCTTAAATTCCATGAGCAGTGAAGTCCGTGAATGTCTGAAACTTGACCAGGATCACAAAAGGTGTTTTGCACATTATAAGCAAGTGAAGAAACTTAACAAGATGATCGAGTCAGCTGAAGAGCTGATCAGAGATGGCAGGTGAGAGCCTCTCCTTATCCTTTTGGGGGAGGGTCTAGAGAGCACTGAGCCTCAGCTACACCTCCAGGGTTATACAGTGTTGAAGCAGGCAGAGTGTAGGTAGCAGTCATGGCAGAGTGTGGGTTGTAGTCACTGCAGAGTTAGGTTGCAGTCACTGCAGAGTGTGGGTCACAGTCACTGCAGAGTTAGGTTGCAGTCACTGCAGAGTGTAGGTTGCAGTCACTGCAGAGTTAGGTTGCAGTCACTGCAGAGTGTAGGTTGCAGTCACTGCAGAGTTAGGTTGTAGCCACTGCAGAGTGTAGGTTGCAGTCACTGCAGAGTGTAGGTTGCAGTCACTGCAGAGTTAGGTTGCAGTCACTGCAGAGTGTAGGTTGCAGTCACTGCAGAGTTAGGTTGCAGTCACTGCAGAGTGTAGGTAGCAGTCACTGCAGAGTGTAGGTTGTAGTCACGGCAGAGTGTAGGTAGCAGTCACGGTAGAGTGTAGGTTGCAGTCACTGCAGAGTTAGGTTGCAGTCACTGCAGAGTGTAGGTAGCAGTCACGGCAGAGTGTAGGTTGCAGTCACTGCAGAGTTAGGTTGCAGTCACTGCAGAGTGTAGGTAGCAGTCACGGCAGAGTGTAGGTTGCAGTCACTGCAGAGTTAGGTAGCAGTCACTGCAGAGTGTAGGTTGCAGTCACTGCAGAGTGTAGGTTGCAGTCACTGCAGAGTGTAGGTTGCAGTCACTGCAGAGTGTAGGTTGCAGTCACTGCAGAGTGTAGGTTGCAGTCACTACAGAGTGTAGGTTGCAGTCACGGCAGAGCGTTCTTCCTAGCAGCTGCATGCTGCATCAGGTTTTTCTTAGTTTGTGTGTCAGGCACTGGATTGTACACTGCGTATAGAAATGTGACTACAGTGTTTAGCCTTACAGGGTTTATAGCTTAGTGTGGGAGTCAGTATGGAGTGCTCGTGCATAGGGTTGGTAGCAGAGTTCTAGAGTGGAACTCAATGGGAGAAGCAGAGTCCTTAACCCAGCCTGCAGCACGAAGACGGGATGGATGCTCTCAGAGGTGGTAGGCAGTGAAATTCTCGTCTTAAAGGAGGAGTCGCTTGAGTAATGGGTGTCGGGGCTGATGTCTGGGGAGGAGAGGTGACCTTGCAGACAGTGTGGCTGATGTCTGGGGAGGAGAGGTGACCTTGCGGACAGTGTGGCTGATGTCTGGGGAGGAGAGGTGACCTTGCGGACAGTGTGGCTGATGTCTGCAGACTCCTGAGGTCCCCGCTCGCTCCTTTGCAGCTCTCCTGACAATGCCTTACTCAGTTCCCAGTGTCTTGCAAACTCTAACATCTCGGAATACCATAAAGTTGTGTGTGCATTTACCATTTCCCCTTTATTGGTTAAGTCTTCCATAGTATTAGTATCTGCTGTAGTTCATTTAGCCATTCGTTCACTGACGCTCACCCACTGAATTGTTGCTTTCATATGCAAATCTTTAGAGGTGGGGCTACAGCTCAGTGGTTGACATATCCTAGGTCTTGACGCCCTGTGCAGTGCCTACACCCCAGTGCATGCACGCACGCGCACTATTTTGGATGAGCAGGTGTTTGCCGGTGATGGGACACTCAGGTTCGCCTGAGGAGCGTGTGAGGAACTAGTGGGCATGTTGGACTCGGGCGCAGGGATGGCCCAAAGTGGCTCCAGCTCTGGTTTCACTTCAGTGTGGATGGTGAGATCCGTGAAGCTGCAGAGTTCCTTCCCTAGCTTTGAACCCCTCATGTGGCCTTGCCACATGTGTTAGATAGTCCTTATTGTATGCCTGTGCACAGGCAAGTGCATGTCCTGCAGAATAATGTATTGGTCTCTACCACGTGAGTCTCAGGGACCAAACTCAGGTCATCAGTTTCACTGACAAACACCTTTACCTGCTGAGTCACCTGGCCACCCTATGCCCTATACCCCCACCTGGCCCCTAGCCCCATGTGTCAAAGCGTCCTCTCTGGACTGAGCAGGTCAAAGGTTAGAGGAATTGTATTTGGAGGCAGTGTTGTGCTCCTTCCGTTGTGTTTGTTAAGCGATGCATAGTAAAGGGGCGGTGGCTTGTAAAGCTTCAGAGATAGTTTCATTGTGGCCCCTCGGTTGCTCCTTTCATAGATACACAGATGCAACCAGCAAATACGAATCCGTCATGAAGACAGAGCCCAGTGTAGCTGAGTATACCATCCGCTCCAAAGAGAGGATCTGTCACTGTTTCTCTAAGGTAACGTGAATGCCTGACACGGGATAACGGCCACTTTTAACTCACTTTTGTCTTTTTTCATTCAATCATTGTGCGCACGCTCACCGAGCCATCTCTCTGGTTCACAGTGCTTATTTTTATTTATTTTTGGTACTGAGCATTGACCTCGGGAACTTGTGCATGATAGCAAGCACTTTTCCACTGAGGTGCACCCCAGTCTATATTTTCTTTTCTTGCGTTGACTTTTAGGATGAAAAGCCTGTTGAAGCCATTAGAATATGTTCTGAAGTTTTACAGTTGGAACCTGACAACGTGAACGCTTTGAAAGACCGAGCAGAGGCCTATCTGATAGAGGAGATGTATGACGAAGGTAAACTCTGAAGGAATAGAGCTGCAGTAGCTAAAGGTTAAATTGTAGGAAATCAACAGAGTTCACTTACATTTTATCTAGAATACAGTTAGCCTGCAAATGACTGAGAATTTGAAAAACAGTTCTGTTGAAACCAGTTTACTGGCATATAAACCAGTTTCAGTAGTCAGTTCAATTAGGAGAGATGAACAGCAGAATAAAAAGTTAGAAGTAATCGAGCTGGGCGTTGGTGGCGCACGCCTTTAATCCCAGCACTCGGGAGGCAGAGGCAGGCGGATCTCTGTGAGTTCGAGGCCAGGCTGGACCGACAGCCTCCAAAACAGAGAAACCGTGTCTCGTAAAACCAAAAAAAAAAAAAAAGTTTGAAGTAATCATTGTTTATTTTTCTAGACATGTACATATATGACTCTCCTAAGCACATAAACACAGAATTGTGTAATACGTATATGCATAAAGTGTGCATATACATTTGTCTAACAAATGATCCTGTGACCTCCCAACTTTAGCAATGTTAGGATAACTGCTTACCTCACTTTACTCCTAGATGTTATGAGGCCCTTAAAAAGGCAGTACTGGAGCACACACAATAGTATGTTCATTAAAAGATGGAATTCATTACCACATTTTTGATAGTACTTTATGAGCATTTTGGATTTTGGCTAATTTTTTAATCTATTTGATGACTTCACATGGTTTTAATCAGTCATCCGTTCTCTCTGTCCACTCCATGTAGAACCTTTCTTCCCAACACACCCCCTCCTTCTATCATTTTAATTTTCAATAGCACATTGACTTAAAGGTTGCTTGTGTGAGCATGTGGTATGCATGGGTGTGTGACTACAGACCTGAAAACAAATGACTTTTCTAGAAACCTTGAACTGTTCATAGCTCCTCAGCTAGCGGGAGGGGAGGAGCTTACGAGTCTTTCCTCATCCATGCTGGAGAGTTGACTGGCTAGATTTTGTGTGGGCCACCATGCTGCTCTTGAGTTGATGAGTCCAACAGTTATGTCATGTCCAGGAGACAGCATTTGACAGTATTCCTCCCCGGCGTCTGGCTCCTACATTCTTTCTTCCTAAATTAATTATTTATTTTTGTTTTTTGAGACAGGGCTTCTCTGTATTGTTTTGGAGGCTGTCTTGCAACTCGCTCTGTAGACCAGGTTGGCCTCAGACTCACAGATATCCGCCTGCCTCTGCCTCCCGAGTGCCCTGTCTTTTCCTCCATGTCTTACGTAGTGCTCCTTAGGCTTTGAGGTAGGCTTGTATGGTTTACTTTTTAAAAGATCACCTCCCAGAGGGTGGAATCTGAGGAAATGTAACAAAAATAGCTGAGGTTCTAATAGTTTTTACTTGCAATTATCTGACTATAGGAAACAACAATCCTATGCTTGTCATAGTAAATCATGCATACTGTAAGTTAGTAAGTGCAGTGTAAAGACTTGGCAGTTGGGGGTGGTGAGGTGTGAGGGAGAAGACAGTGAAGAGGCTGAACCTTTGTTCCTGCGAACTGACCCAAGTCAAGCTTACTCTGCAGCCGGGCCTCACCCGAGACCCCACATCCAGGACTGTCACTGCTCTGTGACACCCAGACTTCAGACGTCCAGGCCCGCTGAGCCTGTGACCAAGCCGTGTCCCTGAAATCAACCCAGCTTCCCAAACCTGGCCATGAATAGTCTCCACCAGCAGGACTCTGGCAGGGTGAATCTCAGGCCTGCTGCCTTGATTCTTTCTGCACATTAGATACACAAATTCTCTAAAGTGGAGCGTGTATTGTACGTTTCCTATATTTTGTTTGGATCGACAGTGGCATCACATTGGCGGCACTGCGTTGATGGTTCCTCCCTTTGTACCTTTTGCTTCTTCCAAACTATCAACATAGATGTTAATGTTTCTTATCAAGCATTGTACTTTCTTTGCTATGCAGTGACCATGTATGTCTCAGTGGTGCTAAGATTGCTCTGTACAATATTAAAATCCCTCGAGGAGGTGTCGGGAGATAATGTGAGAGAGTAGATAGTAAACAACCACAGTGAGTTCTGTCAAACACGAGTGAGAACTTCCGCCTCGGTTATGAGTTAAGTTTGAACAAAATTATGACAATGGTGCCATGTTGGCTCTTAGAAGCAGTAGTGAGGGACGGGGCTGACAGTGAGGGCTTAGTACCAAGCTGGTATAATGCATAAAGGCGCTGAATTGTAATTTCCCCTAACAGCATTTCCTAAACATTTTGACAGCCATTCAGGATTATGAAGCTGCTCAGGAGCACAATGAAAATGACCAGCAGATTCGGGAAGGCTTGGAGAAAGCCCAGCGGTTACTGAAGCAGTCACAGAAACGGGATTACTACAAAATCTTGGGAGTGAAAAGGTGACACATTGCTGTGTTATGAACTGCTTTAAAGTTGATGGTCGCTCCCTTTGTCTGGGCCTGGCTCCCTTCCTTCCCTCGCTTCAGTCATGGCTACTCTAGCAGCCCTTACTGTCATGAGCCGTTTCAACAGTTCTGGGCAGACTGTTTTCTAAAGACCAGTGGATGACGAAGGCTGTGTGTAAATGGGTCTTAGGCCCAGACGTTTTGGGAAGGATTAAGAAAGTAGAGTTGCACTTTATTTTCATTGGGGAGGAGGAAGGAAAAAAGACCCTCCCCTGCACCTAAAGGTAAAGTTGTACTGCTATTATAAGTTCTGGGCTCCAGGCTGGAAAGATGGCTCAGTGGTTAGGAGCACTTGCTCTTGCAGAGACCCAGGGTTAGCTCTCTGCTCACACGATCACTCACGCCATCTCTAACTCCAGCTCTGACCTCTTCCAGCTTTGCCATTACACATGCTGGCAGCTCCTCCTGCACACATAAAAGAAAATAAATCCTAAAGGGTTGTCTAAAAAACACTCGTTTTCTCTGACTAAGTAGAATGCCAGCTTTTGTTTCAAAGTTTGAAGCTTTGGTCTTAATTAGCGATGTGGGTGCTGTATTTTGATTGGCAGAGTCTCGCTGCGTAGCCCTGGCACTATGTAGACCTAGCTGGCCTTAATCTCACAGAGCTCTCTGCCTTGAGTACTGCTGGGATTAAAGGCGTGTGCTCAATCCTGACATGGGAATGTCTCTGTGTCGCCCACAAAGAGTTAAATTATGGTGGTGTGGAGATTGAGCAGGGACAGCTGTAAAGGTCTGTACTGTGCTCTGGGATGCATAGTGAGCATGCGTCCTGAGAAGCGCGCCTGGTTTAGGTCAGGGTAGTGGCTGCCTTGCCTCAGTGCCTGCCCCCAACACCCCATGACTCGAAAGGAAAGAGAAACACAGTTCACTGTTCGGAACAGCACGCTAAGTCTTTGATCTGGAATTCGAGGAAAACAAACTGTGTGTGTGTCATGAGCTGACACTCCACGGTCTCCTTACACACACAGATTTGTTTGCAGTGCTGTGAGTAAGCCTCAGGTTTTATATACTCAGAGTGCTCAAAGACGACTCCCAGCTCAGCTCTTCTGATTTTGTTTTAGTGAAAGTAGGCTAGGACCTTTCTGACAATTGCTAAATAATTTTCTTCATCCTTCAGAAATGCCAAAAAACAAGAAATCATTAAAGCATACCGAAAATTAGCACTTCAGTGGCATCCGGATAATTTCCAGAATGAGGAAGAAAAGAAGAAGGCAGAGAAAAAGTTCATTGACATCGCAGCTGCCAAAGAAGTCCTCTCAGACCCAGGTACCCGCTCCAGGTCCTCGAGCTCTTAGGTGGTGCAGTTGGAGATGAATTAGCTCCTGTCCTCCCCCACCCCAGTCGGGGCAGAGGTGAAATGCGAGCAGGTGCGTGAGCGGGAGGACTGTGGTTGGTTGTCAGCCCCGCAGTTTGTCCAGCCTCTTCCCACCTGAGTCTGGGGGCCCTCAGGTGATGGTAAGCACTGTGCCATTGTAATGTGAAAGCATGTTGAATGTGGAACCCTTTCTCCTGCTTGAACGAGTTCCGGTCATCTCTTAGCCTTGTTTTCTTAGCAGCCATATGCAAGCACAACACTGAGCATAACACGCATCTCTCTCAGACCCCTGCTAGCCTCCTAGCTCAGTGATGGATGATTCTCAGACGTCACGGGAGCCTGTGAGGAAACCAGTGTGTTAAGCTGGTTTACGAAAGACGAGAGGCCTGTTGTGCCTCATGGGTGTTAGCAGCAATCTTGCCTTAAGTCACATGAACAGGTGTACATGTGAATCCAGTCTGGGAAGTGAGACAGGCTAAGAATTTGTACACACTGCTTTTTGTGGCTTTCTGTATTTGTAGGGATGGGTATTCTAATTTGAATTAGGAAGTGGTCAACAAAGAAGAAATCAAGTTTTGCCCCTTCAGAATTGAAATAATCTTTGTCCCAAATAATTTGTAATCTAGTAAGGGGGACAGGTGCACTTCATTATTGGACACAGTAGGTGCAGTTTCCTGTTCTGTTATTGAATACAAAATACAGTGTCCCTCAAATGTCGTGTAACGATGGGGCCAGAGGGATTTGGTGGTGTTAGGAGAGCCCCCCAGCCTTGCCTGTTCTTCATCGTGCTCATGTGTCTACATTTTGGGAGGAAAATGAGCCTTATGGAGGGAGTGCTGTTTTACCTGTTGGGCAAACCACTTCCTTAGATGCTTTGTGGAGACGACTCGGTGAGGCTCTTGCCTGATGACTCATTTGGGGGATGAACAGTGACAGGCTGTTTTACAAAGAGCATGACTTGGAGACTTCTCTTTGCAGTCCTTTTCTTCAGGATGGGAATGGAAAAGTGTACTATGTGGGTCTTACTTTGCTGGTTTCTTTTCTAGAAATGAGAAAGAAGTTTGATGATGGAGAAGACCCTCTTGATGCAGAGAGTCAACAAGGAGGTGGTGGTAACCCCTTCCACAGAAGTTGGAACTCATGGCAAGGGTTCAATCCCTTCAGCTCAGGCGGACCATTTAGATTTAAATTCCACTTCAATTAAACCAGCTGTTTTACCGCTCCTCTCCTTCATTATTATTATTTTTAACATTAAAAACAAAAACTGTTGGGAATTCTAATGTAAACAAAATGAAACAAAACTTTCAGTTTGTCCGTGACCAAAGAGTTGTTTTAGGGGAAAAAGCTGTTCTTCTTGTAGATCTGATGGGCCTGCCAAGGTGGGAGCAAGGAGGCCTGTTTCTGACAAAGCAGCCTGTGCACATCTGTGACTCCCTGGGGGATGTGGTCAGATAGCATTAAACATGCACATATTTAACCTGGAGCAGACAGTTTCTACACAGCCTTGCATAGTGACCTTGAGGAGGAGCTGCAATCTTCAGGAGGATGGATTGGGTCTCTGTTCCTCAGAGAATGTGAACAGTATTTTCTTAGGGACGACTATGCTTAGTCCAGTCACTAGTAAGCACTTACCCCTGTCCCTGTGGCATCACTGCAGGAAGGAAGGAAGGAAGGAAGGAAGGAAGGGTAGAGACATCTGTAGGAAGCACCATCACGTGGCAAGTCAGTGTCCAGGTGTAGACTGTTGAAGTTAAGCATATCTTTTTGTTGTTTTGTATCCACAGAATACCAATTTCACCTGAGTTTAATCGTAAAAACTTACAGATCCTCCTTCAAGTGTTAAACAGAACAAATTAAAATACGTGAGAGGCCCAGTGGTATTTTAGACAATACTGTGGAAGGTCAGTTTGAAATACTTTTTAAACAGGTGAAGTTCCAAGTTGTTTGATAGAAAGGTCGTGTCACGAAACTGGCTTAATGATACAGAGTTGCTCTGTCAACGTAAGCACACAGTGTAGTGACTCCCAGCTGAGCAATATTAGTGAGGCAGCGGGCGTCTCTGTCTGTCTGTCTTGGTTGCATTGCTGGTTGACTTTTGGTCAGTAGCTCTGCCTCATGAGGACTGGGTGTTCCTGGTTTCTCACTCTGCTTAGGAGGAAGGACAGGCTTGCACATCAGTCTAGCTCTGTCTGTGTCCTTGGTGAGATGCGTCTTCCACTTCCTCCCGGAGACCCCCTCTGGCTTTTTAAGCAGGTGTCACTTTAGGAGATGTACTGAGCCGGGCGTTGGTGGCGCACGCCTTTAATCCCAGCATTCGGGAGGCAGAGGCAGGCGGATCTCTGTGAGTTCGAGGTCAGCCTGGTCTACGGAGTGAGTTCCAGGACATCCTCCAAAACAATACAGAGAAACCCTGTCTCGAAAAACCAAAAAAAAAAAAAAAAAGTACTGTTCAGGGTTTGTATACTGGATAATTTTTGCTCTAAAAATATGTTGCTAAATCAAGAACATAGATTTATGAACTACTGATGCTGCATTGGAAATCTGAAGAATTACTTTGGTAAAAGTTTTTTTTCTGTCTTGAAACATTGTGAATATTTTAAGTATAAAGCTCTAATATATTGCCTTTATGAAGCTGAGCATTTTAGGCAATTGTGGGAGACACGAATGTAGCATCCAAGCACAAATCATTTCCTTAACCTATAGTCATACCCTTGAGCATACACAGAAAACATTTTAAATGGAAGAACATAAGTCACATAGTGGAGTGGGCAAAGCATTTATGTGTTCTTTGCCTGTATTTAGGAGCCTATTTCTTACCAATAAACAATGCATTTCGAAATACCTTTCAGCTCTGATTTTGTTTCAGTGTCCCCAAATTCCAATCAGGCCAGGTGTGATAACATGTACCTTTTGTCCTAGCACTGGAGATGAGGTCAACTACTTAGGTTACAGTTGTTTTTTAGTCTGACTCCTTTTGCAGATGATGTCACTGACAGTTTTTACTAGAGTGATGATGGCGTCTGTGTACCTTCCAAAGTGCACGCTTGCCCCAGCAGCACCAGGAAGCATCAGGTTGCTCACTGTCCCGTGTAGAGCAGGTGGAAAGTTGCCAGCAGCATGAAGCCAGAGGGACTTGGACATGGTTGAAGGTTGGGCTGCATGGACCTTGTCCCTCATCTAGTGCCTCCTAATTTGCTTCCCAGAGAGGTGTGATTTTGCTTTTTTGTTTTTCTCCTGCTTGTAACTACACAAAGTGACTGAGGATTAGCCTTGCTCACTGCAAACTCTGGTGCCAATGGCAGATGCCAATGGAGGGAGATGAAGGTAGAGCCCAGTGCTGATTGGTAGGTCAGGATGACCTGTCAGTTCCAGCCTGGATGCTGTTGGCAGTCTCCTAGCTTCCGACTTACAGCAGAGAGTAATGAATAGAGTTCCTTCTTCCTGCCTGATACTGTGTACCAGTCTGTGTAAAACCAGCTACTGAAGAAACATCCTCCACTTCTTTTTCCGTTTTGTAGGGCTACTTCCTTATTCCAGTTTCTGTGTTTAGGAGCTGCAGATAACCCTTTGTGGTAATTCTGGGGAGAATATGATCACAGCTCTCCTTAGCTGACCTGCTACGTTTCTAGCCTTTCCTTCCTCTATAGTGAGCTCTAGGTCAAGTGTCCCTGGGTTGCATCCGGTGTTTATCACTGCAGGAAGAAGGACAGACGTCACACGCTACCAGAAGACCAACTTCACTTTTAATTTCTGCAGGCTTACTGAGTAGAAGAAAAATATGAAAAAAATCTCCATAGTTTCATCAATGTGAATTGGATGTAACATCTTAATTTAAAAATACTGAGTAGTGTTGAGTGTGTTTTAAACAGCAGTATGCAGATTCGACATGGAGTTGTGATAAGGAATGAAGGCTCATGACTGTAATCTCAGAATGTAGGGCTGCATGTGTGAGGGTCACCCTGATTTTGCAAGTACCAAACTTAGACACATTGATAACTACATAGAAAAATGTCAGTAGTCACCCTCATTTATACCTGGAAGGTAACATTCACATGTAAAGGCTTTCATTTGGTCAGAAGTGACTTACCATGACGAAAGAAGCTAAGATGTACTTGGTTTGAAACCACTCCACAGGCCATTGCGAGTGCCCACTTGCCTCATAGATACAGGAACTGGCAATGGCCAGTTTTTAGTAAGTGCACATCACAGGGTTAAGATGAAGTCAGGCCAGTTTTCTTGAGTGTATTTGACATTACTTTAGTGATCAAGGAAGAAGGCAAGTAATGATTTTTAAGAACTAATCTCTTTTTCCATCAGATCATATTATTCCTTTCCTGTTAGTGGCAGGATTTATTCTGTAATTTCAAATGATGTTAGGAGGGGGATATAATTTTTTTAACATGATCTCATTTGCTGAGTGATTTACGAGTAAAATTAGCCACTGCGTGGCTTCGTGTACAGTAACAACAGGTCTATTGCACTCGTCTGTGAATGAAATATTTACCTGTGCAAAAGAATACAGGGCACAGGGAAGTAAAAAATAGAGATGTTGCTAAGTTAAATTATTGCTCCTAGTTTACATTTGTTTTAAATGGACAAACCCAACAGTCCATCTCAATTTAATGTTTTAATAAAAAAAGGAATTAAAATTATTTCAACTGGGGCTCATACATGTCTATGAATATGGGCAATATTTTTATGCCCGTGTATTTTCACATTTAATAAAAATATTTATGGCCATATCTACTACTTTCGTGCTTCTGATTCATGCTTAACCTTTGACTTAAAATTCTAAGGAAATCCATCTTAGAAGTCTGTTTCTTCCAACTTCATTTCACATAAAATCAGTGACCTGAGTTGACAAAAAGGCTCTTTAGCTCACCAAGTCCTAGGAAAATGGGACTTAAACATTCTTCTATTTTTAGAGTCTAACAGGTGGCTTAATCTGAACTCTTACTACTCCTGTTGTCTTGTGGTTACAGGAAGGGTACCAAAACATATATCAGTTAAACTTCTAGCAACAACAAAGCCAGCTCTCTGTTTCAGTCATATATTCTGTATTGAAGGAAAAATACTTAAATTTATATAAAACTGTAACATGATTCTTCCCACCAGCCTGGTCCCAGAGCTGTGTCAACCCCAAATAACACACAGAGACTCCATTAGTTACAATGCTGTCGATCAATGTCCAGTGCTACTCATTAGTCGTGTCTGAGTATTAAACCATGACTACTAATATATATATTTCTATAAGGACTTTCTTTCCGAGGATGGCATCTTCTCTTCCCCGGGAACACATGGCAACCCTCTACTTTTGACTACATTGCCCAGAAGCCTCCTTGACTCCTAGTCCAACCTATCTTGCTTCCCTATTGGCCAACAGTGCTTTATTATCAACCATTCAGACAACATACACAGAAGGCCTTCCCTCATCATAGAGCTTTTTTTTTTTTTTTTTTTTTTTTTGGTTTTACCAGACAGGGTTTCTCTGTATTGTTTTGGAGGCTGTGGGACCAGCCTGGCCTTGAACTCACAGAGATCCGCCTGCCTCTGCCTCCTGAGTGCTGGGATTAAAGGTGTGTGCCACCACAGCTCATCATAGAACTTTTACAGAAAGATTAGAAACTTTCCAAATCCTTAGTAGTCCTGTTGATAACAATCTTGGCAACATAGAAAGGGACAGCCTCACTCTGAAGATGTGGGCAGGCAGAAGGCCCAGCACTGCTTGACATCTGGAAGCAGAGGCGGGGACAGCCTCACTCTGTCAGAGCCTCCTTTTCCCTCAGCAGACACCACACACTCACTCTCAGTGGCTCTATGGGCTTCAGAGTCCTTTGAAAATATGCAATTACCTGAAGGACGGCCTACAGTTTGTTTTCCTATTTTTGGGCAAGCCCTTCCATGGGAGATACAGGACACAATCAGCAGGCACTCACTGTTTGTCCAGTTTCACCGTAGCCCCAAAGAAGCAAAAACCCTAGACAAAAGAGCTTGCTATTGGAAATCCCTCACCCTATTGGAGTCCATCTCTCACTTCAGTCTCGCAGTTTTCTGTAATCATTCTTCAATAAAACCCTGCTTCTGCTCCCTCAAGAGTCAGCGTCACTAATCTCAAGCCACTAATGATTTTTGATTACTGAATGTCTGGGGTCTTAGGTCATAAACAACTGGCCTATGAGAGGTCCGATACTTCATTTCCTTTGAGCCCCATCTTCCTAGTTGCCTAAAATTTGTAACCCTTTGGTTCTTTGGCAGTCACTTAAATTCATTAACGTAATGATAATGGCCAAGGTAACTGCTAGGGGACCTCCATAGACTGGGTTCTGAGCACAGGTGTTAGGCCCATCAGTTCTATGAGCTGGTATGTTTCAGCAAAGGACGCTTCTCAGAAGGGTCAGCCATGTCTTCACTGCGCAAGCTCTGCCATGACCACTGGTTCTCTGGAAGTTGTTAGTGGTAGAGCCAGGTAGTCTGCAGCTGCTGGAATTGGGACTTGGCACAGAGGCAGACACTTTCTCTGACTACATTTTCAACATCAATGAAGTATCTGATTTGTATCTTCTCTAGCTGACATGGATGGGAGTGTATTTGATTTTACCTCATTAGGGACTTGAGGGTAAACTAGAGCTAAGTGGTGAACATCTCTGAAAGAAAGCCATGTGCGTCTAAGCTCATCTGAGTGCTATGAAAATTAAGTTTTCAGCGTATATGTGGGGTTCTACTTGAGTCACGAGAACTTAATCAGTAAAGTTCAAAGTAATCTGATTCTCAGCCTATGTAGTGCTTTGCATTTTCCTTAAGAGAGAGGGAGTGAAAACTACTCGACTTTTCCAGGAGGTGGTGGTGGTGTTAAAAAGTCACACGGTGCCGCATGGGAGAGGCAGATTGCAGGGTCCCAAACCCAGTGCCTACACTGCGCCGTTTGCTGTGGCGTCCTCTGCTGCTGTGCCCTCACCAAGCGGCACTTCAGTGTCAGTGGAATGTGGGCTTATTTCTGTGTGGCTAGCACTTTGGAGGCATAGAGAGTCAACATAATAGAATTTTAAATTAGGCCATGTCCTAGTTAGGGTTACCGATGAAACACCTGACCAAGCAGCCTGGGGAGGAAAGGCTTTCAAACCACAGTTCATCACTGGAGAAGTCGGCAGGAACCTGGAGCAGGAGCTGATTCAGGAGTCTTGCAGGGGAGCTGCTTACCATGGTTTTCTCAGCCTGCTTTCTTACGGAACCCAGGACCACCATCCCAGGGATGGCACCACCCACCGTGGGCTGGGCCCTCCCCACCAATCAATTAAGAAAATGCCCATTTTCTTAACTGAAGTTTCCTCCTCTCAGGTGACTTTAGCATAAAACTGTCACGTATAATCGATCCCTTGTCAGTTTTACAAACAAATCCTTGTAAAGCCACAACCTTTCTTGTTTGTCCCCAAGACACACATTAATAAAACATCACAATATAAACCATTTTACAGGCTTTTAAGCCCCACAATTGTAGGCAATTTTCCGTGTCAGTCATCTCTCTCCAGTCAGCTGGCTCCCAAATAACCACACAGACTTATCCTTAATTATAAATGCTCGGTTGGTAGCTTACGCTTGTTACTAACTAGCTCTTGCACCTTAAACTAACCGATGTTTCTTATCAATGCTCTGTCACGCTGTGGTACCTTTTCTCCAGCGTGGTATGATCATCTCCTGCTTCCCTGTGTCTAGCTGGAGGCTCCTGGTGACTTACTTCAGGGACGTGACTCCCTCCTTCCCCCAAACGCTCTTTTTGCACTGTCCAAAGCCCTGCCTAACCTCTTCCTGCTTATCTATTGGCCATTAGTCCTTTATTAATCCAA